TTCAGCCTCCACAAGAGAAGGCTGAGGGGGGATCTAGTGGCCATTTACAAACTAGTCAGAGTGGACCAGCAGGCACTGGGGGAGTCCCTGTTCCCCCGAGCACTCCCAGGAGTGACAAGAAATAAGGGTCACAAGCTGGGGGAGGGTAGATTTAGGCTAGACATCAGGAGGCACTACTTCACTGTCAGGGCGGCTAGGATCTGAAACCAACTTCCAAGTGAAGTGGTGCTGGCTCCTACCCTGGGGGTCTTTAAGAGGAGGCCAGATGAACACCTTGCCGGGCTCGTTTGACCCCAGTACTCTTTCCTGCCATGGCAGAGGGTCAGACATGAAGATCTGCTCAAGTCCCTTCTGACCCTACAAACTATGAAACTATGAAACTATAAGATGATACAAGCAAAATGCTTTTTAAGTGACCAAAAACAAAACACTTTGACATTATTGAAACTAAATAAGAGGCGTGAAACTAAATAAGAGGCGTGAAAAGATTGACGTTTGACGTTTTCACATTTAAAAAATGTTGATATTCACACATTCCTTGTACATATATAGATTTTGGTTCACTTTCCAATGGGAAAGCATTCCATCAAACTTTTTAAAATCAGAGCTACTTGCGGTTGGCAGGATTCCCTTAAAAGATCTTGATTCCATATAACAGTTGCATGAAAGACTCATTGATGTTTCATTCAAACGAACCTGAAGTTATGTATCTGGGAACTGAACAACTTAATGCTGTCTATTTTAGATATTTACTCTACATTCAGTAACTGTGTGTGTCAAGGTTACTAAAATGGAATGAAACCTATAACTTTTGGCTACATCATAAACCAAGGCTGTCAGATTGAGCCACATGGCCTGCTTAAAGATATATGTGAAGATTTCAAAAAGGATGAGTATAAAAGCCAGTCTTGGGCCAGAAAATGAATGTAAATAACCTTTTCCCTTTACATTAGAAATGGGCATTAACAAAATCCCCAAATCCAAATGTCCCAACTTTATGGGAAATCGATATCCAGTAGGATCCTTTAATCTCCATCACAGGTTCATGAAGAAGGCAACAATCCTGCTATGTCATCCTATATTATTTTCCTGTTCCCACCAATACCAATGTGCATTTTTCAAAAGGCAGTGTTTTTAGGATATTAGCATCCTGGCCGAATTTAAATTTTGTTATTTATATTTAACCCGTTCAAATTCCCCATGCAATTCTGTTTTGCTGTGGTGCTTTTTATGTCCTGCCTGAACTGCTGTTGTTGTGTTGTGCAATACTGAAGCTGTGATGTTTCCATATCTCCCCACACTATGCACAGATTAAACCTTAAGTTTACTTGGTATATTAGGTTATTAAACACTTTGACTTCTGTTTGGATGAAATGTGCTAGCTTACTGTCAGATAACTTTATCATCATCAAGCTATGTTCTCTTTCAGAAAAAATATAACCCCAGCGTTAAGAATACTGATAATTCTGAAGAGGGGAAATGAAAACTTTGGATGTTCCTCTGCCTCATTTGGCTGTTATACCTGTACTGAAACTACTTTGATTAAGAAAACAAACACAAAAATTAACCCAACAGACTTTACAAGTGATTTTAAAGTATTTTAACAAGTGTAGGTTTTGTTAATATAATTATATCCTGCCATGTGTGAAGAAATGTTTGGAATATTCAGTGATAGTGAACCCCTAAGACATCATGAGACATCCTTACCTTGCATTTAAAGGGTTTGACATCAGAGTGAACAATCATGTGTGCCTTGAGAGTCTGTTTCTGCACAAAGCTCTTGAAGCAAAGGTGACACTGATAGGCTCTGATATTGGTGTGGATCAGCACATGCCTCTTCATGTTGGCCAGCAGGGTAAACTCCCGACCACAGATACCACATTTGTGCTCCTTTACACCCTGGAAAGAAATAAAGAATCAGAAAGCTAACTAGGTATGACTTCAGTTGTTTTACTTTCAGCACAGTAAAATATGGGTCATTCAAGCTATGCTAGGAAAGCAATTACATAGATTCTTTTCTTTTTAATATTACTAGTTCCAGTAATATATATGTGGATACTTTCCCCCCTACCCCCCCAAGTAAATACAAATCTAAGGGAAGAAAAAAGAAACTCTACTGTGTAACTGGGATTAAGAAATAATGAATTTCACTGCCATCAGTACATCTACTGAGCAGCTTCACTGATGGAAAAGCTCCACTATCCCACAGTTACAACTTAAATAAAAACTGCGTGTTGGCCAAACGTGTATGTTAAGGATGATATAATGTAGCATATTGGGTCATGGTAACTAACGGTCTGAGCAATACCTGTGGAAGTCTAGCACTGGTTGATTTCAATGTCTAAAGGAACGAGCTCTATATAACAAAGAGTATGCCTGTATTTTGAAGATAATATAGAAAAATCCTACAGAATTTCTGTAAGAAGCAGAAGAATCATGTAATTAAGCAACAGTATAATTGGAATTGGACATTTCATAGGGATTACTGACCATTTCTGGGTCATAAAATAAGGCACTAATCTCCAGAAAATGCCTGATTTTTTTTAATATTATAGAACACGGAGTAGGTCTGGAGTAAACTGAGGCATACACACTTATCTTGGAGCCTGATCCCTTTCCATGTAGCCAATGGAACAACACTCCAATGGGCTTTTCACTGAACCCGAAATGAATTATTCAGTTTCAGTTGGTATTTGCAGGACATCTCAAGTGCCATCCATATCATCCAATCAGAATGCTGAAAGAAAAGGCAAGCCTCCTTTGACCTGGATATGGCCTAAGACCTAGATCAAAAGTATTTAGGTGTCTTCCACTAATTAAAAGACGTGGAAGTTACATGCCTAACTACCTTAATGAATCTTACCTTACCTCAGTAAGGCAGGTATGGAAAAGTAATAAGCTGTAAGTGCCATCTAAGACTATTGATCCAATCCCATATAAAGAGGGCTCACCTTAGCTTTTGCTTTCATGCCAATAGTTTTGTATCTACATTCAAATTAATTGTTTGTACACAATTAATTATAAAGCTTTTACCTGTGGATACAAATGATAGTTTTAGATATTTAGCTCTGTGATTTGAGGCTACATTCTGGATCAGGTCCTATTTGCCCAGTTCTCTTATTGATATGCAATTACCCCAGGACAGCAGGATAATGGTGCAGTACTGGCTATTCCAAGTCTGCCAAGCAATATGTTTTATTGACTTATTCATCGATGCACCCCAGTACATATAAACTAAATACCCAGTTAAGTTAAGCAGAGGACTAAGTTATATTTTTCAATAGAAAAAAACTGGAATGTTAATTGATAAAGGAGCATTATACAAAACTAAGATTTTAAATAGAGGGTTGTGCTGAAGATAAAAACAAGCTGAAATAGAGGGTATAATTTTGTTTTTGGTCAACAATGCAAATGGCTTGACTGAACTCTCAGGTTATTGTAAGACCTTCTGACATGGCCCTCCTTAACACATGAGCTGGTTTCTCTTATTGCCCATTCTACAGCTTGCTTTCTTAAACACATCCATACACACAGCTATTCTAAGGGCCTATACCTTACTTATGTTCTTGTGAGGATATATGCATCCAGGGCTGGTGTTGGCCTTCAGAGCAGGGGTAGATATAACCTTTCCAGACTTACCTTATGGGTCAAAGAGTGTTGTTTAAGATGGTGGGGCTGCACAAACTCCATGCCACATTCTGTGCAGATGTATGGACGGATGTCTTTGTGCTTCATCATGTGATTTTGCAGCTGGCTTGGATATTGAAAAGTTTTATCACATTCTGTGCAATTGTACTGTATAGGACCACGATGGGTTGTTAAATGTCTCTTCAGTTGAGCAAGAGTTGGAAAGTCTAGACCGCACTCCACACAAATATTCTCTCTGCCACTCTCATGCTTGGATTCGTGTGCTTTCAGCTCACTTGGGTAGGCAAAACCTCTGCCACATATTCTACAGTTGTAGGGTTTGATGTCACTATGTTGCATCATATGTCTTTTAAGATGACTGGTTTGGGTGAAAGCTTTGTGACACACCTGACATTTATGTGGTCTAGTGCCCTGATGTGTTAACATATGTGTGTGCAAGTGACTCAGCTGCTTGAAAAGCTTGCCACACCGAGAGCAAGCATGAGGTTTGATACCACTGTGTCCCAAAATATGGGTGACAAGATTATACTTGGATGTGTAGGACTTCTCACACATCGGGCACTGCCAGCGTTTCTGTTCACCCCCAACATCCACATAATAGCTGTCATCAATTTGGAGATTGACGTCTACTCTTTCCACCTTTTGTTTGTTTTCACCATTTTCCCTTGCTTCAGTCCTCCTGAATGATGGCTCTGGTGGACTTTTCATTTGAAAGGGATTCCTGATATGAAAATTTGAGGGGACAATAAAAGGAAACATCAGGCCAGGATGAACTTTTGGATAATAAGAGTAAGGAGACTGCACAAAAGCAGGTGTGTTAGGCCACATCATACTAGGCTTTATTGATTCTTGTTTAATGGGCTTTGCTGCAAAATGCTCCAGAGTCCTGTAGAACTGAAAGCCTAGGTTACACAAGTCTATCATTTGGGAGCTGTACTTGGGCTGTGAGGATTGTTGAAACATCAAAGGAAGACTATTGTTGTCTTCAGATCTGTGTGATGGTGAGGTGGGATCTTCTGGTGTGACAGTAGGAGGCATTTTTGTGGGCATGCTTTTGCGTTTTCGGGACCCTCCTTCCAAGGATCCATGGAAGGTTTCTATATCCCCTAGGGAAGGACCATACTGAAACTGTGCAAGTTGTGGTTCAAACTCTTCATTGAGTGGTACAGTTCTGTGAGGCTTTTCAACAGGCCCTAGTGGCTGCAGGCAGCGTGACAAGGGAGATGCCTGTGTATTGTCCACATTGTTCTCATTCTTCATCATATTTAATTCCTTCTGCATGTTCTGCCTGCCTCAAAAGCAAACAAAAAAAAATCCTTTTTAATTCTTCCCTCTTTCTCCTAAGACATATAGCGTGTTGCTTAATCCATATCTAAAAAAGAATAAGCACTCGTATAGTAGTTTCAGGACCATATAAGAATACCAGTTTTTTCTGCTATTCAAAGTTTATTAGTGGAGACAGGCCAAAGCCGCTTGTTCTCCTTTAGAATTAGTGGTTTAAGTCAAGTTTGGTTCATGCATTGACTTTAGGATATATTCAAGCACATAGTAAATGTTATATTGTTTAGCAGATTAATTTATCTTCTAACATTTCTACTTCATTTAATTCAGCCAGCCCATCTGTGGGCTTGTTCCTGTTCTTGACTGTGCATGCCCTGGTTCTGCCTTGAAAATATCCAGCAATTAAACAAGTACATTTGTTATGGTTGTCACATGAAAATTGAAAGCCAAAAAACTTCAAGTTTGAACTCTTTGTATTGCTGCTGCAGAGGGAAACAATGGCAAAATAAGTTCAGGATACTGTGTACCATCATTGCATTTCCTGACTTCTGTCACTCTGTAAGTAATATGAAGGTAAAACAATGAGTGGTTGTAGGGTTTTTTTCTTCCTCTTTTTTTAACAAAAAGAGGCTAAACCATTGACTAGGATTCAGATAGTCAGCAATATTTAGTTACCCCCAACCTAGTCAAGTAAACATGGCAATGTTTGAACAAAGAGAGCATATTGAACTTTGAATAATATTGACTCCCCTTTGGCTTTCCAAAGCAGCTGAGATCCTGTGGCTGCCAGATCTACTTTGGCAACACTTCTATGCCTTGTCGTGGAATAAATTCATTGTGCAAAATCTTGAAAGCCATGCACAAATTACATGTACCACTAGTGCCAGTGGGAGCCTTTTCTGAAAAATGATAGGGTAAAAGCTGATGATCACAGGATCTGGTGCCTTCAAATTAGAGCACTGATTTTTACTTTGGCCCTCCAATGAACCATATATTTTTTGTATAACACCCAGAAAGTGATTAAGTCAGAGAACCAGACATCTTTCCACTTCTCCATCTATGCATGTTGATAGCTATAAATATCCTTATTCTTGGAAACACAGGTGTGGGGGTGGGGTGGGGTGGGGTGGGGGGCAAAGAAACAGTGCTAAGGAAGCTTCTGTTCTTTTTTAGGGAGCTCTGGATAAACCTACTAAAATAGATAAAAAATATTTACATGACCTAGTTAGGATATGGAGACCAGAAAGCATCTTAAAGACCTGGTTTCAAATGGATGATTAAATCTTCAGAATATAGGAGTAATAATAGAGGGAGTTTTGGAGAGATCTCTGAGGCAGTATATGGGGAAAGGGTTAGGTAATGAAAGTTTGAGACAGTATTGTAAGGCAAAAATATTTAGGAAAATTGCTCACCCGTAATTCATTGGTGAATGAATGGGAATGCCACAGTGCACGAGAAATGTAATTGGAAGAGCAAGGCCTGGGTTCTCCAAAATTATAGTTACACATATAATTATGTATCCGTAACCTTTCTCTGAACATTGTGGGCCTACCTCTTTAATGCCTTGTTTAGCCATTTTCATATGTTCAAAATAAGTATAACATGTATTAAATATTGAGGTAACTTTGTGGCCAAGATGGCCCAGGAGATATGCGAAAGGCAAGAAGTCTTGTGGGTGGTATCTTTTATTGAACCATCTGTATGTTTGGTAAGAAAGCTTTCAGGTATCACAGTACCCTTCCTTCGGCCTCTACTCTAAGGCAACAGAGAATTGTGCCTCATATGTTTACTGTTGACACCCTAACTGGTGCTGAAGTTGGGGCTCCTTGCTCTGCTCTTTGGTGCTTTCTTCTTTCAGGTCCCATTTCTTTAACTTTTACCTGGGTTTTTGAGCCATTTTGGGGCTGAAGTAGAGACAGGCCATGAACCTATTTGAAAGAGTATCCTTGAAACAATAGAAAAATTGCTGGTGAGGAATTATTGTATTGCTCAAAAAAGAACTAGTCTTGCAAAAAAGGCAGATATCATGGTACTATATTCAACACTGCATTCTACAGTTGTTGGATTGGGCATATCTAGGAATGCGGAGTGTAATTATTCATGGGCCAGCAAAACCACAAAGGTGCTGTGCAGTCAGACTGAAGTGAATAAAGAATCTAAGAAGGGAGAGTTTAAAAACACCCTGCTCCTCTGAGAGAAAATGTATCAAGAAATTATGTGTTTGGTGCAAGCCAGCAGCATCAATTCAGTCTGAATCATCTCATTCTGTCAAGCCTCACATAGGAATGGAGTAGGACAAAGGATCAAATCTGAGGTGTACTTGTGCTCCCCCTCAAGTCAACATCCAAACTTCTGTTAGCTTTAATGGGAGCAGGATATTTGCCTTGGTCAATTAACTCCATAAAGCCAGGTCTCCTGCTTAAAGTTTGGCAAAATATAGATGAGACTTAGTGACAACAGATAGAATGAATGTTCTGTTCTGCTTTAAGTAATGGTAGTAGAGGACATCGTACTAAATTAATATAACTCCACCTTACTTCAGCCTATTTGACTCTGGAGTAGCATGACCTTCTTTAACAGTTAACAACATGAAGGGAAGAACTCTCTCTCTCTCTCTCTCTCTCTCAAGTACTTCATAGATGCCTATCACCTTAATACCAAAGCACTAAGCACTACCAATTTCTTTTCTTTTTCTGCACTTATTTATTTCTAGTGAGCACAATAGTAATGGAGATATTAAACAAAGTTCAATTCTTAAAATCTGGATAAATACCTAAAAGCACAAATGTTGATCTGGATCATTGAAGTCCCTTTATCCTATAAACTTAATCTGGCACTCTCACTAAGACAGAACTCCTTAGCTATCTCAGCACCTGAACATTGAAAACAACATATCCACACTTTTCAGAGTTCCTGAAAGTGTTTGTTTTCACCTGGAGTCTAGAAATAAGTAGATTGTTTCAAGTGTTTCTTATTTTCCCAAGATTCGTCCAGCCACCCCTTATCTAATACAAAGTACTATTTCCATAAATCCCCCTTTCTATAAAAGGATATATTGAATAGGTCAGATTAATAAAAATAGAACTACCAAAAAAACTCTCCATCTCTACATTGAGTTCAGAAAGTTGCTATGATTTTTCCAGGAGACACAAATAACTACACAGGAGCTAAGTAATATTGTTGGATTAATTTCCAGGAAAGAGTTAGAGAACTTAACAGTGAAAATGAATCGCTTTTAATTTTCTTATTTCCAAGCACAATATGTCCATAGACAGAAACAAATACCCTAAAATAGCACTTAAATCATGTGACTCATTCTACCTGCATACATATTGTTTGTCACTTGACTGCATGAAATCCTTGCCATATTAAAATAAAGAGCAAAAGTTCCATTGGCTCCTACAGGTCCCCTGTTGTTTTAACCCCTGTCTGGAAGGCACTGCTATTTATCTGAGCTGCAAGGAAACCAGCATAAGTACAAGGGTTCTAAATAGCTCCAGTTTAGACCCTAGCAATAGATGATGCTCCTATCATACAGTAGAGATAAGGGGAGCATCCTCTGAAATGGGAAGCCTATGCTAGTTTCATGTGAGATCTATGCTTAGGTCCTATGTCTGGAAATGAACAAGAAATGGAGATGAGTTTAGAAATAGAAGGGAGCAAGTTTGGGTTTAACTCAGCTACAATAGGAATGGTGTGCTTTAACAACCATACATGAGTCTGAAAACATAGCTGAATGTAGCATGTACTAGTGCCTTCCCACTTTCCACATGGACCTTGAAAGACTGATGCTGTATTTGCAAGGAAAGAATCGTCTCTAAGAATTGTTCTTTTACTACTTTACTGTTGTTTCTGTATATGTTATGCTAAAGACACATTAAGAAATAAAATAAAGCTGCACTCCTTCATGGATTGAAGGACACTGAGTAACTGGAAAGCATCACAAATCTTTCTGAACAAGCATCTGCTTTTCATAGCAGACATTTGTAAGTAATAATTTTACTGGCCTGTTTCTCATTGCTTCAGTAGGTTTAATGGCTTCTTTTTTACATAATTCAGCTTTAAGGTTTGTTTTATTCTTAAGTGTGTTCAGTCATAAAATTGTGGGGTCAAATGCTGAAGTTCTTGCTCAGTTTTTATTTATTTTTTCTTTATGCAAAACTCCATTGATAGAGATTAGCTTTAGTAAAGGGTCACTAAGTCACTCAAAGCTAATCTAACTTTGTTACCTACAAAATATTGTCAAGTATTTCACTCAGTATAATTTAAATTGGTGAAACTGCCATGTACATTTATGCAAATGTTCATTTTGCATTGCTTTTAGCTAAACAACTTTTAATTGGTTTTGCAGCTCAATTTTCATTCAGCTCTCTGAGCCAACATTTCTGCTCTCTCATCACACTTCCCTCTACTTCTTTGCTCTGGCAAAAATACCAACCTCAATATCTCTTTTGTTTCCTCCTTCCACTGTTATCTTTGTGCTTCCTCCTACATGTGAGTGACATACCACTCTTGGTATGGGTCCCCTCATTTCCACTTCTTCTGTGGGAGATCCTAGTTGAAAACTAATAGTAATTTTTTCCCCCTGTTATTCCAATGTGTCTTGTGTGTCTAATTGATTCTGTGGCCTGTGTTATGCAGGAAATCAAACTATATCCAGAGAAGACTGATATGATAATCTAAAGCCCATGATCCATTTGTTTGTCATCTATGTTGCAAGCTCATTAGGACAGGGATAGTCTTGATACTTCTTACATAAGGTAAAATACATCTTCACAGTTTAACAAGTAGAAATAATATCAGGACTAGACATTTCTCACTCCACTGTTACTCACTATCTGGCTATTTTCAAAGCATGGGAGAATTATAAGGCTTAGTACTGTTAGGTGTGCAAGCATGATTCATAAGATAAAACCAGAGCTTTCAGATCAGAAACCATAGTGTTAAAAACATTCTGACTGTTGTGATCTTTCTGAGTTCTTTGCAACAGAATTGCTGTATTATTTATCTG